TCCCAAAGTGCTAGGATTACAGGCATGAGCCACCCTGCCTGTCCACACATTTTAGAGAAAAGAAAAACAGCTATCACTTACTGACCACTTACTATGTGCCACACCCTGAGCTAAGTGTCACAAGCCTTAGCTCCACACAACGATCTGGAGTAGGAAATCAAAGCAATTTGCCTAAGGTCACAGAGATAGCTAGAGGACTTCTCTCCACCAAATGCTAGGAGTGCAACCTTGGATAAGGTATATAATCCCCTATTGCCTCAGTTTCCTCATCTGTAAACTGGAGATAACAGCATTTACCTCATAAGCATGATTATGAGAAATGAGTTAAAGCATGTGCTTGAAGCAGTGTCTGGCATATGGCAAATGTTTGCTACCACTGTTATTATATCCAACACTTCCCCTTTTTCATCTGTAATGAGAAGTTTGACTACAAGGCCTCCAAAGGTGCCCTGCTGGGTGATCCACTGAGGCTGTGGGCTCAGACGTGTACCTCACCTCTAGAAAATGCAGGCTGCATGCCAGGCATGGTGATCCATGCCTATAAACTTTGGGAGGCTGAGGCAGGAGGATCGCTTGAGCCAAGGAGTTCGAGACTAGCCTGGGCAACACAGTAAGACCCTGTCTCTACAAAAAATTTAAAAATCAGCCAGGCATGATGGGATATGCCTGTAGTCCCAGCTACTCGGTGGGGATGGATGGGGGGAATCGCTTGAGCCCTGGGAGGTTGAGGGTGCAGTGAGCCATGATTGTACCACTGTACTCAGGCCTAGGCAACAGAGTGAGACCCTGAAAAAAAAATAAAATCAAAGAAAGGAAGGAAGGAAAGAAAGGAAACAAAAGAAAGGGAAGGGAGGGAGGGAAGAGGGGAGGAAAGGAAAGAAGGAAGGAAAAATGCAGGTTACTGTGTCACTTTCTTCACTGAAAGATTTCTCAGAACATAGAAGAGAGTATTAGACACCCAGGGCTAGAAGTCAAACCTCCTGATTTTGCCCAAGAATGGCAAATAATTTTCCGGAATCAGCCAGTACTATAAAGATGAATGCCAGTCTGGTTTACCATCATGCACCAGTCACTGACTGGCATCTCATGGGACTTTACAAAATAAGCATTCTTCTTCTCCTGCTGTCCCAGCCACAGGTCATGACCTTGAGTTTCACAGGTAGCCTCTTTGGCTTTCTCACATGTGGTGAAGAGTGGCGAACAGACTTTTCTGTTCTCCAACTCACTTTTTTCTTCCCTAGCAGAGGAGTCTCACTGCTTATAGCACAGGAAATTTAAGCCCCAACTGCAAAAAACAGTGGCTGGAAACCTTTTCTAGTAGCAGAATTTTAGAGCTCACAGAAAGAATTCAGTCTCAAAGTCCATGCAATCATTGTTGAGCCTGATTTCTGCAGTGCCACTCACTTCAATGTCAGGCATGTTGGATCAAACAGCAGGGAATTTGCAATCAAAACAGCTGGGTCTGAATCCAGGTTCTGCCACTCCCAGAGTGTGACTTTGGGCAAGTCTCTGACAGAGGCTTCTTCGTTTGTAAAATGGGGTACAAGAACCCACACCTCACAAGGCTTTTAAAGTGAAGTGTAAAGGCACCAAAGGAAAAGGTTTGTCCAAGGTCAGCGGATAAAGACTAGGACCAAGTCTCTGCATCTTGAGTTGATTTTTAACATCTTGCTTCCTTTTGGGTAAGAAAGCCACAAAGTTTGATTTGACTTTGTGTACCTTCCTCCCCTCCTCCTCTCAAGAGGACCCAGAAGAGAAGCTACTGACCTCTTGTAGGAGTACCCCAAGATGATGCCAGCTCCGATGGCAATGATGATCACCATCATGGTAATGCCCAGCACGTAGCCTGCCAAGGACAGGACACAAGGTCCCATTAGCCAAACCCCACACAATCAACAAATGACATCTCTTGATGAATCCCAACAAGGGCAGGGGTCGGGGGCTGTCATACCCAGAGTTCCCAGGTCCTTTTTCTCCTTGGAGTTCATCCGCACGCGCTGGCTGATCCCAATCACTGGCTGCACAGCTGCCGCCTCACTCCGGGCGGGCAAGGCGTTTGCAGGAGCGAACACCTGCACCTCATCTGCACCTGGCCCTTCAGACACTTCCTCAATTTCTGTCGTGGAGGCTGGCAGGGCCTGGGAGGTTGTCTCTGGAGATGAGGTGGGAAACAGCTTTCGTCAGGACCTGCCCTGAGTGAATTCCACAGCTGAACCTGGTCCGAGTGTTAGGGGAGATGGAAGTGGGTCACTTAAGAATGCCTCCCTACACACACAACCTAAAGTCAAACTCTGCCCTACAGGCAAAATCAGGCCTGAGAGGGCTGCACCATCTCAGGGACAAGGCAAATGAGAAGGGAAGGCCGTAGGGAAAGGCCTCTCTTCTGCCTTCCACGACATCATCTGTTCAAATCCTGCTCGGTTGCCGTCTTCTGCAGGGGATTCCCCCACCTCCACTCCAGGAAACCCATGCTTCCTTTGAGCAGCCCACATTTAAGTGCACGCTCTATGCCAATCCTTAGGTGAAATGCTTTATTTTGTGCCGGGCGCGGTGGCTCACGGCACTTTGAGAGGCCGAGGCGGGCGATCACCTGAGGTCAGGAGTTCGAGAGCAGCCTGGCAAGCATGGTGAAACCCCAACTCTACCAAAAATATAAAAATTAGCCGGGCGTGGTGGTGAACGGCTGTAACTCCAGCCACTGGGTAGGCTGAAGCAGAAGAATCACTGCAACCTGGGAGGCGGAAGTGGCAGTGAGCCGAGATCCGACTACTGCACTCCAGCCTTAGTGACAGAACGAGACTCTGTCACACACACAAAAAAAAGAAAAAGAAAAAGAAAAAAAGTGCTTTACTTTGATTATCCCATTCAATCCTAGAAAGCTGTCTTGCTGCCTTGGAAGCAAAAAGCCTGCGCTCTGGAATCTAAAAAACGTGGATTCAAATCTGTCCCCTGCCATTGCCTTTGGTAAATTGCTTAAGTTCTCTGAAGCTCAGATGCCCCAAACAGCTGCTTCTTGCGGGGTATGAGCCACTCCTAAGGGCGCGCAGCTGAGAGACCCAACCTCGCCCGGCGGAGAGACCCAGCCCCGCGCAGTTGTTTACAAGCGCTCGCGGCGGATGAGCTCACACGAGCGGCGACGGCGGCCAATAGGCTTTGAGCCCCGCGGCCTGGAGATAGCCCTGGCCAATCGGACGGCGCGGGGGCGGAGCGGGGCCGGCCGGCCTCGCGCGGCCGCACGTGCACGGCGGTGTCTGCCGCTCCCTGTCAGCCCCCGGCGCGGGGCTTCCCGGGGTCCCGGGCGGTACCTGGACAGCTCGGGTCCTCGCAAGGCCGTTTCTCAGGGACGCCGGCCTCGCCACTGACGTAGCACCAGGGCCCGCGTGGGTCCTTGTCCGGGTTTCGGCAATAACTGTGATTGCCGGCGCCTGAGAGAGGAGAGAAGGAAACGTGTGTCGGGGCTGGGACCTGGACCGCGGCTGGGACCTGGACCGCGGCTGCCGCCCGCTAGCCCCGCCGCCGCCGCCGCCGCCGCCGCGGTCCCCTGGAGGACACTTACCCAACACGGGGGCCGAGGCCAGCCGGCTCTGCACGTCCAGCCAGTTGAGGCAGCGGAGGCCCGGCGCAGGGGAGAGCTGGTCCGCCCGGTACAGGTGGCCGTTGTCCCACAAACAGCCTGTGAGGAAGAGAAGTCCCCGGACACAGAGTAACGGGCAGCGAACGGAAGACGCCCAGCGTGGCGGGCAGGGCAGCCGGGATCACCCGGGCCGAGTCCCAGCCTGGCTAACGAACCCCGGGCCCTGCTGGGCCACCGTCTCCTCCCTTGACAACACCCCCACGCCCCCCACGCCACACCCCACACGCACCTCAGAGGGTTGCTGTGAGGCCCAAAAGAGAAGGAAAGAAAGCGCCTGTGAAGCCCCTAGCCTGTGCCTGGCCCTCAGTCAACGCAAGAGACTGTTAGGTGTTTTTTATTTTTTGAAAGCCGGAAAGCTGTAGAAGTGCAAATGGTTGTTACTCTTGAACTTGTGACCACTTCGGAAGAGGAGATGGAGAGGAGGAGGCCTGGCTTAGGGTCCCTTTGAGAAGATGGGAGTTTTAGGACGGTGGGCATCCAAACCTGACATTTATCACTGTGTTGTAATGCCATGTTACGTAAACTCCGGTGTTCCCTCCTCCACGGATACGGCCACCTTCTGCCCGTTTAACAGGCAATACTCTCTCCAAAGAGAATTCTCCAGGAGCCTTGATTCAGTCAGGCAAAAGATTCAAGAGAGCCTCAAACGGAGTGAACCGGCCTTATCGCTGCCTGAATGAGACTCCAAGCTCCCATTCCCCTCTGCAGGAGAGTCACAGGAGGAGGCTGGGGAAGGAGGACCACACCATGCAAAGGGCTTAGAAAGAATAGGACTTGGGGCGTAGGGGAGATGAACCCCCAAGCTCCATCCACTCATGAGCAAGGAAAGGCAAAGAGAAAGTGGCTTCTTGCCTTTGTTCTTAATGGCAAAGATGGAGCTGCAAGACCCTGGCAAGGAAAAGAGGGGTGGAAAAGCTTTCACAGGACCACAGAAACCAGCTAAACGCTTCGTTTCCTGTCATCCTGGCCCTGTTTGGGAAATAGGGGGCTTTACCCCTCCTGCTTCATGAAGTTTTGCTGCGGAAAGGAAAGATTGTAATCTCACCTCCAGATCGGTAGGCTTCTGCTAGGAGCATGTTGCTGACGAGGAATGCCTGCACCCAGGCCAACAGCATCCTTGCCTCCTTCGTCTTGCAGGTGATTGAACGACCAGTGTCCAACCGGGGCCCCCTTGGCAGCGGCTCTGCCTTCCAGTCCCAGCCTTGCAGTCAGACCTGCCCTTGTTATGCTCTTCGGGTAAACAGCCTCTCTTTAGAACTGGGAGCTTCCCAGCTAGCTTGCTGCAGCGCGAGCTGTTTTTCAGCTGAAAGGCGCCCCCTGGGTCCTAAGCCTCCTAGGCCATGCAAAATCTAACTCTGAGCCAAGAAAGGAACTCAGCCAAGAAGAGAGGCAGAGAAGTGCTGGTTGTGCTTAGCAGCCGATGATTTTGAGACCTGCGAGGCCACATCCCCAGGGTTTTTCATCTCTTCTGTTTCCATTTGTGTGAGTACAGAAAGATTAATTCTATCAAGGGGCATCATGGGATGTGGGAAATTATAACCACTAAAACACAGAACACTTTAGGGAGCGTGCACCCAGGAGGAATTCATGACCAGTTAGGGGGCAAAAATAAGAGTATCTGGTGGGAGGGGGGAGTATCACTTTATACCCATTCTTGAAAAAGGGCCTTTGTAGTTTATATGTTTATGAACACACTTAAAAAAAGTATAACTTGGCCAGGGTCAAATCTGTCACATTGCTTTTTCTTACATTTGAGGTTTTTGGGGGATATGTATATAGTAGGAATTTAGGAGTTTCTTTAGTTGAAAACACATGTTATGCAAACACGGAAAAATTTGCTCAGCTACACTGTAATAGTCTACCCTTTCTACCAGCTCTGAATTATATAGAGGAAGTTAAGTAAAATGTTTGCTTCCCCCCCCCATAGGAAATCCATTTGTTGTAATTCAGATCCATCATTAAATCTCACCATATCCATTTGACTTAGGCCTTTTGGAGTTAGGCAGAAGGGCCCTCCTTCCTGTTTGGCTGACAGTTCAAGTTCCCAGGCAGTCTCAGTAAACTGAGAGATAGAGCAGAGTTATTTGCCAAGACTACCTTGTGACTCAGTCGGATCCCAAAATAGAAATGGGAGACTCTGTTTCGATCTTGCAGGCAGTAATTTAAGGAGGAAAACAACTTTACTAAATATATATATATATTTTTTTTTGAGATGGAGTTTCACTTTGTCACCAGGCTGGAGTGCAGTAGTGCCATCTTGGCTTACTGCAGCCTCTGCCTCCCAGGTTCAAGTGATTTTCCTGCTTCAACCTCCTGAGTAGCTGGGATTAAATGTATGTGCTACCACGCCTGGCTAATTTTATTTTATTTTTGTATTTTTTTTAGTAGAGATGGTTTTTTTTTTTTTTTGAGACAGAGTCTCCATCTGTTGCCCAGGCTGGAGTGCAGTGGCGCAGTCTCGACTCACTGCAACCTTTGCCTCGACTCACTGCAACCTTTGCCTCCCAGGTTCAAGTGATTCTCCTTCCTCAGCCTCCTGAGTAGCTGGGACTACAGGCACGCACCACCACACCTGGCTAATGTATTTTTAGTAGAGATGAGGTTTCACCATATTGGCTGGGCTTGTCTTGAAATCCTGACCTTGTGATCCACTTGCCTCAGCCTCCCAAAGTTCTGGGATTACAGGCATGAGCCACTGCACCCAGCTCGATATGGCAAAATTTTAAAATTTGGCTAGGCATAGTGGCTCACACCTGTAAATCCCAGCACTTGGGAGGCCAAAGGGGGAGAATCCCTCGAGCCCAGGAGTTTGAGACCAGCCTGGGCAACATAGCAAGACCCCCATCTCTACAAAAAAAAAAGAAAATAGCCAGGTGTGGTGGCACACACCTGTAGTCCAGCCTACTCAGGAGGCTGAGGTGGGAGGATCATTTGAGGTCAGGAATTCGAGGCTGCAGTGAGCTGTGATCAGCCACTGTACTCCAGCTTGGGCAACAAAGAAACTCTGTCATAAAAAAATTTTTTAACAATTCCAATATAATAGGGATTTTTAATTTTTACTAATTTTACAAATTTTTTGAGAATCCGCTACATGCTAAATATAGTCCTAAATGCTACATGCTAAATACAGTTCTAGATACCGGGAATACGTCTGTAAATATTTGAAATCTCTCTCCTCATGAAGCTTATATTCTAGGGAGAAACATGATAAATATGTAAAATGTCATGTAATCTTAAGCGTTATGCAAAAAAAGTGAAGCAGAGTAAGGGAGAGAGTAATGGTGATATTCCACTTGCTAAAGAAAGCTTATACTATTTTCAGGGAAGCAGAAGGATATTTCTATAGCAAAAGGCTGAAGGGGAAGAGCTCTTGGCACAATTTTTGTTAGGAGAGGTCCTCTATTTACTCATATACCGCTGCAAGAGATGTGTATTTTGTTTCACTATGTAAAATACAGGCTTGAGGAAATGAGAGTACAGCTTTAAATTTCAAAATAGCAGGAAGTCCTTTGAAGTTGTTCACTCAGCACCTAATGTATTGCCTTTGTATGCAGTGAGGGCTCGTTTATTGATATCTGATAAAATGCTCCTCATTAGACTTTGAAGGGCTACTTCTGAGGGATTGTAATACTTTTCCCTCTGTTTATGGTAGAGACAGGCTATAGCAGGCCAGCACTTGTACCATTTTCAGATTATTACCATGCCTACATAGGGATGCTAATATTTCTACCTCAGAAGCCCAAAACTTCCTTACCTGTTGCTATTGTCATCTAATTTTCCTATTTAATAAACTATTATTTTCCCTAACTTACCTTGATATTCAGCAAAACCATATTTTGTGTCACATCTTATCAGGAACAGCACTGCCTGGAAAAGATATAAGCCAGAAGGAGATTTTTTCAGCTTAGTCATCTCTGTTTTTTCTCCCCGTAACTAAGATATTTATCTGTATGATTGATTTGATTTTTTTTTTTCCAGAAATGAAGGACTTGCTTCAGTCCTTCAAAGATATACTCTAACAGGTTCAGTACTTTCTTTCCTCAAGGTAATCAGATTTAGTTTAGAAATGTTCCTGTTGTCTTTTTCTGATGGTCCAGATTTGAACTTTGCTCCATTTATTGGTGCAAGATGACCATATTTTATGGCCCATAGTTACTCCAGACTTCAGATTTCTTCAGAAAATATCACTGCAATAAAAATATGATACAGTACTACTCAAAGACTTAAATTTTGAATTGTTTATATCCTTGAAAACAACATTTGAAAAAATATACTCATATTTTACGAAATATTCCAGGGATGTTTGATTTTCAGTTTCATATTAGATGAGACAAAGCTGCGCTATGAAATCAGGAAATATTTTCCAGAGTGTTTCCCAAGAAGGATGGGCAGTTCATTTTAACAGGATATGTTAGTGGGTGAGCTCTAATAAGGAAGTCATAAAGCTATTAAAAGGCTTAAGAACCCTTTTTGTCAGCAAAAGAGGGCCAAGGTGTTGGTAAAAATCTTTGGAGTAAGATCTAATGAGCTGGCTCCAGCAATTCACTTTATATGATGTGCTGTAGAAGTAGCTACTGAGATGGGGCTCAATATTTTAGTGTATAATTACAAACTGAGCAGGGATGGTTTTATGCAGGTTGTTAGGGAAATAATATTCTAGTCAAAATGTCTAAACATCAAGGCTGTTTCTTTGAAAATGTGGCCTTCAATGAGTTAGGTTATATCCATTTTGTGTATGCTTGGTACATAGTTTACTTTCAGAAATAAATGCTTGAAATAAAGTAGAAAAGCAGAGTACCATGTAAGGAAAAGCAGTCTAATAAACCTACGGAGAGAAAAGATTTTTTTTTTAAGGTAAACTATAGAATAGCCAAGAAGGCTTGTGAATGACAGGTTACTTTCAGAAATAAGACATCTCACACTGGGAACAAAGGAGCCACAAAGGCAGAGAACTTAGGAACATGTCACTGGTGTTGAGAAATAAAAGGAAGAATAAATTCTTGAATAAGAGCGGATTTTGATTTAGCTTAGATAACATGTTTTTCACATTGATGAAAACACTGTCTTCAGTGTCACAGGAAGGATGCAGAAACTACAAACTTAATTGGTTCATAAGACTAGACTGTTAATATAAAAGGTGAGTTAACCCAGTAAGCTACAGTTATGCCTCTCTTGGAAGGGGATCTGACATTCTCCAATTTGAGTAAACTGGATTTGCAGTTTTAAAATGTATCAGCACCCAGTATGAGCTTAGTACTGACTTTTTTTTTTTTTTTTTTGAGACACAGCCTCACTCTTGTTCCCCAGGCTAGAGTGCAATGGCGTGATCTTAGCTCACTGCAACCTCTGCCTCCCAGTTTCAAGCGATTCTCCTGCCTCAGCCTCCCCAGTAGCTGGGATTACAGGTGTCCGCCACCACGCCCAGCTAATTTTTGTATTTTTAGTAGAGACAGTGTTTTGCCATATTGGCCAGGCTGGTTTCCAACTCCTGACCTCATGTGATCCCCCCAGCCTCCCAAAGTAATGAGATTACGTGCGTGAGCCACCTCACCTGGCCAAGTACTGACTTTTAAAGTAGGAAAAGCAGTATATCAAATAATTTATGAGCATAGGCTTTGAAATACTTGGGTTCTAGTCTCAGCACTGCACTATGATCTTAGGTCTTTGCATACTAACAAAAGGAAAAAAATTTTTTTAATTTTTAAAAAAAATTTATGTAAGTTACTTAGTATCTATAATTCTAAGTTTTCTTAGCCTGTTATCATAATGGTAAAGAATACAAGGGCCAACATCAGGATTCAAATCCCAGTTCTTTTGTTTCCTGCTATGTCATTTTAGGCAAGCTACTAAACTATGACTCAGTTTCCTCATATGGAGAGAGGGGGAGAGAGAGAGAGAGAAATAATACCAGAATCATTGGATTGTTGACATTCATTGATCCCTGAATAAATGTTAGCTGTTTTCAGGAATTTTTGTGAGTAAACCCTAACTTGGAAGTACTGAGTATAGGCCAGGCATGGTGGCTCTTGCCTATAATTCCAACATTTTGGGAGGCTGAGGCAGGAGGATTGCTTGAGGCCAGAAGTTCAAGAGCAGCCTAGGCAACACAGACCCCCATCTCTACAAATAAAAAAGTTAGCTGGGCATGGCAGCACACACCTGTAGTCCCAGCTACTTGGGAGGCTGAGGTGGGAGGATTCCTTGAGCCCCGGAGTTCAAGGCTGCAGTGAGCTATGATCATGACACTACACTCAATCCTGGATGACAGAGTAAGAGCCCATCTGTAAAAATAAATATCTTTTTTTCTTTTTTGAGGCAGGGTCTCACTCTTGCCCAGGCTGGAGTGCAGTGACATGATCATGGCTTACTGCAGCCTCAGCCTCTGGAGCTCAAGCAGTTGTCCCACCTCAGCCCTCCTGAGTAGCTGGTACCACAGGTGCATACCACCATGTGCAGCTAATTTTGTTTGTTTGTTTATTTAT